CCCACTAATTTTAAAATCTTGTCAATTTTATTACAACATGCTATTAGAAAACATAACTTTAATATATTTTATAATAAATAATAATATTATTTATGAGTTTTTAGGTTACGAAGTAAAATTTATTTGATATTCAATTGTATCTACTATTATAGTGAATTTGTTTTTTGATAAAAATACATTTAAAGTTATTGTTATGAAAATGTATCCAGTTAAGTGTAATAATTATGATGGCTATTTTCATACTTATTATGGATAGGTAATCAATAAAAATTAACTTCACAATAGAGCAAAACATATACTAGGTAACATTACAGCTTAAACGTAATACTAGAAAACAGCGGATGATTGCTTTTGTTCTTAAGAGGTATATGGGTAGATGTAGGTACAAAAGCAAGTAATTTAAAATGGTTTATATGCCTTCAATTAAATTATAAACTAAATCAATTAATATTCAAACGTGTTCGAATAAAGTCATGCAACATAATTATTTTTGAATTTAAAATAACAAAAACTTAAGTTAAACGGTTTATAATTGATTTAATTTAATTATGTTCTACACATTTCATAACAGTTTATTCCAATGTTTAGGAGAAAATAAAAATAAAAATAAACTGAATACCGAGATCTTTTTGAAAACAACTTTTGACAATCTTGCAACTATTATATGAATTTTAATTTTTTTTTTTACAAAATCTCGATATTTAAATAATATTTTTGTGGTGTTGTTATAAGAAAAAAACAATGGACGGACGAGAATAACCTGCTACTAATGCAACATCCTATTTATAGGTAAGCTGTTAAGTCTGTCATACATCAAAGTACGCGGTGGGTTTAAAAGTCTCAGATGAAAACTGTTTGTTCACTTTTAAACAGCTAATTTGAACTTATTTTTAATTTTTTTTTCACCAAACCGTGTACTTATTAGTGATTTTGTTCAATTGTGTTTTATATTTTAGAATATTTTACGTTTCTCACGATTCTCAAGACATGAAAATATTCAGTTACATAGCTAGAGATGGTTCCACCAACGTGTTCAAGTGTAATGTGTTCAAGGCAAATAAAAAGGTACGTACCCAGTACCCACTATTGATTTTACGAAGATAAATTAAATTTTTATATAGAAAAAATTTAAATAAATATCAGACCAAAAATATTTGTATGAATGAAGTTTGAATGGATCTGTTTTTGGCGCAAGCTGTAATGAAAACGAATAACGGGAAAAAAAATAGTATATCATATCATAATATATTCATATAATCATATCATTATGCAGTCTATTCTGAAAAAAATCCATTTCATCCGTCCTCGTACTAGGTAAATCCGATGAAGTCTACTTAGCGCACGTGTTCACGTATGCTATATCTTCGTGACATTTTCATATTATTCGTAGGCGTGACAGTTTTTTTGATGTGTAATCAATTATTAATGCGATAAAATATGGGCGAAAATAATTTGGCATTGGTACTTTTTGATTATTATAGAACATTCGAAAAAACAATTTTACTCGGCCCGTAATCCTCATCGAAGTTTTTCAGAACTTTTTTTTCACTATTCATATGGCAGAATTACATTTTCTATTTGTTAAGTTTGTTTAATATGTTTTTTGTTTTTTTAAATACATAATCACTATACAACGATCTCATTACTCGTACTTATTACACACATCGCAAAATGTTGTGTATTTTACGTGAGTGATTGACGATCAAAGAGCTTTATAGTGGTAGGTAATCCTTTCATAATCACTATTGATTTAAGGCATAATCGTTAATTTTTGTTTACATACTCATATCACTCACAACACTTGTGTATACGAATAAATATATACTTATAATATTTCTAGTACTTAAGCCTTCGTGATTGACACAAAATTCATCGTATCTTAATAATAGATGAGCTCTTGGATTGGAAAAACTTTAAACGTTTAAATTAATATTTTACTGGCTTAGATTTTTTAATTATTTTCATTTTATAGAAGAAAAATATTGTTTAATATAGACAGTTAACATTTTCATTTTGAATCGACAATATATTTTTACTGGCTTAAAATAGATTTAAATTATTATGATTTAATATTATATTCGTTCTATATTATATTGGCTTATTAAACACAGACTTTAACCAAAATAAGCTCTGATTTTCATATTCTCTTTAAAGTATAATATTAAATTATTATTCGGAAATTTTATTAAATAAAAATATATAATATGGGTTCCATCTCTTGATGAAAAAATCAACCTATTTTTACATTTTGTTTAGAGTCGAAGGGTTCAAGTTTAAATTTGTAATACAAGGACATAAACTGTTAAAAAACCGGTCAAAATCAAAACACAGATTGTTAAAAATAGTTTGGTAATATATGTATTTTTTCCCTAAGGAAACGAAACCTTCGTGACATTTGCTGATTGATGCATCGTTGTGCACTTTTCCCCTTACTGACTACACCACGTGTGTCAAAAATCACTTAACAGTTTAAACGCTTTTGTGATAAATCGACTAAAAATCAAAACTTGTTGTTTCGGTCTTGTTATACAGATTACAGTTGAATACAATGAGTATTTGTTCAATATCAGATTGTAAGTATACTTTATTTGGTGGGTGTTAGTCGCAGTGCTACGAGGCGGTACTTCCCTCTTGTCACTCAGTTCTCACTTTATATTAACTATTTTATTGTACCTAAATATTTCATTGATATCAAATTCTAGTTAGTAAATAGTTTAATAATACTAATTACTAGTATGTACTATTAAAACTATATTATACAGATAGGGAAAATAGAGGTTTTTAATCGTATCCAATGTAAGAACACAAAACAAATGTTCGAAATGTGTTATGAATCGAACTGCATAATATACCTATTCAATTTTATTCATAAATCATCTTCCATATTATTATCATTTCAATAGTATACATTTTTATATATTAAATATATTAATACAACTTTGCTTACCTACTATATCCTATGTTATTGTAATAAATTATTCGTCTTATAGTTCTTGTCTCGTTTTTGAGATCAAGCATACCCACGTAAATTATGAATAGACAAAGAATCTTTCTTAAATTATCTTAAGTAAAGTAGATCTTTTCCATTTGGTACGTTATGTAACCATGCAAAGTAAAATATTTTCATCAGTTAGATAAAAATCCTCCAAATAATATTATAATAAATAATATTGTTCATCCGATTATTGTAAATCTGATTAATTTATTTACATACTGTATAGTATATACTTCAGCGATACTTATAGGTTATGATGTTTACAAATATATTTAATTTCTAAAATTCTGATCACAATACATTTGTTAACAATATTTCATTGACAATTAAATTCATATAAAATAAATTAGGTTATTCAGATCAAAAATCATCCGAACTAATTAGGGGACAAAGGTCTTGATTGACAATTGCTATTTCCGGTAAAGCTTGGGTTGAATATACATAAATTGATTATCGAATAATATAATTTGTGTTATATATTATGTTTTTACTATATTTAGATAGTTTGTAAATTATAGTTCGTTCAAATATACTGAACAAGCATATTCATAAGAAAACCAAACAATAGGTGGGACTGTGGGAGCATAAAAATATATTATGTAATTTAATTTTTCATCGTTTCTTTGGTTCCATTCAGATATAATTGTCGCTATGTTGTTGTATAGTAATCGAATAAATTACGTGAAGTTTCGCGGACGATAAATTGAGCTATTCATTATGTATTCATATTTTTATTATAATAAAGTATAAAGTATACTTGGTACATTTAAATTACGCGGGTGTAGTGGACAGTGGGTCCAGTGAATTCACAACATTTCATGTTTTCCTAGCTGTTCATTCAGGTGTTCAACCCGTGAAATACAATTTTCCGAGAATCGCCGAAACCATCATAATATGACAAATTACCATGGCTCATCATTGCTTCTTATCGTTTGCAGTGAAATTTAACGAACTCGTGTCAATTAAATAAAGCCTTCTGGAGCTCACACTCCGTATAACGTCTAATTAACTATTAATTGATATATATTACCTATAATTTATAATAGCACCCACACACTAGTCTTGTAAAGCATAATTATTTGAATATAATTTTGAGATATCTGGTTGAATATCATCAGTTTTCTTTTTCATGTTTGATATTTTATAGTTTATACAAAAAAACTTATTAATTAAATTTATTAAAAAACAACACATATTATAAGATAACTTGTTATTCTCTATTTTATTTAATAGCTAATAATGCTTATAAATTAAGATATAACTTTTCAAGATCGAGTTTAAAATATTAGGAACAATTTTTTTTTTTACAAATGATATTTATAATAAATTTGCGTTAAGAAAATAAGTATTTTTGACAAAAATTAGAAAATCTAGAGAAAAAAAACCCCAAGTATACCTCCTCAGGTCTCAGAATCCTCATTTAAATACTTCTTCTCGAACTGTATTATCAACATTGTTCTAGTGTGCGACCCGAAAATACACATCCACACACAAATTTAGCCTTGTAAAGTCAAAATAATATAATACTCTACGCGTTATCCGTTTATGGAGTATACATAATGCATACTATTATAATATTATAGTATAATGTGGACATTGACAAACAGGCACGCCGCGCGCCGGACAGGGAACGTAATTAGGCACAGCGCCAGGGATCTGACGCACGGGATCTCGCGTCGGTGGACGGATCGGGCGGGGGAGGAGTCCGTCTGGGGCCCCCCGGTCGTCAGATAGCGTCGGGACGCGACGGCCGACCAACGTACACGTTCGAACGCGTAACACGCACACGCGCGCTCCGTCACGCACCCGAACGCACCCTATAACAGTATATACGGACGAGCGCGCGCGCGCGCTCGCAAATCGAATACCACGGCGAGAATTAAACAATTATAATAACATCACTCGCGCGCGCGTATCCGCGAGGTTTTTTCGGCCGTCCTCGCGCGCGCACCAATAATATCATAATTTCGTGTTGCGCGGAAAAAGTCTCACCCGTCGCGCGTACATGGTTATCATGAGGAAAACCGCCACCGCGCCGTCGCCGCCGAACCAGGACAATCCGCGGCAAGTGCCCAGGAAGAAACTATCGTTTCGGGAACCCGAGGTGGTGCCCCGGGGCAAGCCTCGGGTGGTGCTCAACAGGGCTGATGAATTCGAACTGGACGAAGAACTGCAGGTAACGACGGCTATGGCATCCCCCTAATTCCCCCCACCCACCATCACTCCACTTCACGATGTAGTTTCTTATACCGTCGTTACAATTATTGGTTTCGTTACATTTTTTTTTTTTTGGGTGGGTTTTGTTTTTCTTGTCGGTTTTTTCTAGAAAATGCATTATACGCCGTGCTTGTACGTGTTTCAGAGCCAAGCGATGCGAGTGGTGCGGACGGTAGGCCAAGCGTTCGAAGTGTGCCACAGAGTGAACCCGTCCGAAGACGGCGGCGACAGGGACGACGAGGACGGGACGTCGTTCAGACGTCGCGACGACGATGATGACGACGACGACGACTGCGACGACGACGACGATCCCCGAGGAGACGATTCGGGCGACGAAGACGACGAGGCGGACGACGGTTCCGTGTTGAAACGAGGTAAGCGATCATTGCGAATAATACATTATTTTAGACGTATTACGATAAAAATAAATAATAATAACATAAAAGCACAGATTGTTACGATACGGTGGAAAAACTGAATAGAGATGGGTTTTTCGGCGTTTTGCAAGAAAACTGTTATTGTCACCACGTTAAATTTAGACGTCCGGATCTCCGTTTTGGGACCACATCCAAATGTATTTTACCGGGTCTGCTTCTACTTTTTTTCTCGTTCGTTCGTTATTCGTTTTTAAACGAACGGGGGGCTTTACAAGGGAACCGTTTTTAACGATACCTACTGTTTAAAATAATTGTAAATCGAGCGACTTATCTGCACCTACAATGCACGTATACCAAGTATGTTGCTGTGTGCCACAAACACGTCTTGGCAATGCATATTGGTTACCCTTTAACATATTTTTAACGTGACCTATGCGCTTGAAATACGTTAATTTATTGCCTAAACAATTCCAGCATAGGTTCTCTTTATCTACATCTTTGTTTCGTTTCGTCTTTTCCCCTCCAATATTTTATTCAACGCCGTCTGCTGTGTACATTTATTTATACACAACGATTGGAACACCCGAATTTTATACAATATAGAGTATACACTGTCTTAAATATTAATATGGATTAACTCGAATGGGTTAAAAAACGTCTATAAATACAAAATTCTGTTTATTTCTGATCAAAATTCATTCTAGCAGATGTGCTTAATGGTACTACCTAGTATCTACCTATACCTTTTCTAGTTGATTTATGATAACACATTATGTACGAGTGCGTGTATAATCGTATCAAGAGAATATTAAGTTATACATAAAATGGTTCTGTTTGTAGTACGGTACGTTGTTTTTATCGCTGAACATATTATATTATACCTATTATATTATAATATAAGTAACTATTATTATACTTATAACTTGAGTGGTTTTATGTTTTTGATTTTCCAAAAGTTAAAATGTATTTTACATGAATTATTTACAAAAACATAGATATACGTTTGTATTTGGTTTCATAGCGTTTAATGTTTAACGACCATAACGACCCCAGAATAATGTCAGGCGTCAGAATGAAGAAACTAAGAGTATTACTAGATATCATACAATGGAGTACAGTGAATAGACTACTTCACCTTCATGAGAACTATTCTACTTTTAAAAAATGTATCTTATTTATCAATTCCGAGTAATCCTTTGAGAAGCTTAAAGCTCTAAATGTAACAATATTGCAAATTAATAATGATAATCAAAAGGAAACAATAACTATAATTATAATATTAATATAATTAAATCATTTTAGAGGTGCTACTCATGAGTAGATTTACTTTCATCAGTATCCATTTAAAAAAAATAAAAATATTTTAATATATCCATTACATGTATTTATTGTACTAAACTATGGTGTATATTGGGCCATTGTTCCTAGGATCTCCAATATTTTTGGTACCATTAAAACGAGTAGAAGGCTCCACTCTCAACATCCCCTTTTGAAATATTATACATTTACTTATATAAATATATTTAAACCAAAAGTAAACCTCACGGAAATTAATGAATAGATGTTTTATTTTCAAAAAATTTACACTGATGGAGAGTACTTATACCAGTGGCATATCCAAGAATTTTGTATGGGAGGGGGAGGGCACCACCGGTACTATACAGACAAGACAATATACGTAGTTAAGTTTATATTGTAAATATTTCTTTTAACAAGGTTTTAAGAAACAAAAATACCTAACTAATTAGTTTTGAATCGTTAATGTCATCGTGTCAACATGACTCTACCAACAAAAAAGCCGTAATATGTATTTTCTTTTTTATTATTGTATCTATCATGTACTGTAATTCATTAAGTCATGATTAAAGAGAAAAAAATTTTAATGTAGATAAAATGTAAAGTTATATAACTTATATACTACCTCCGGTTTCTAATTAATTAAATATCAAACGTGTAAGCATTTATAAAAATACAATTTAATATCAAGATGTGCAAGTGATAAAATCGTTGAAAATATTTTGTGTCTCATATTTCATCTCTTTTAATCTTTACAGCCGAGCCATTGGGTGAATTGCTTTTATTTTAACATTAGGGTAATAATATGGTAACTAGGTATTTAATATAATGGGAGTTGTAACAAAATATAATTTACGATATAGTTATAATTGTATATAATTGTATGTTATAACACTGCAATTCAACACTTCAACCTCAAAATATATCAATAAAAATTCTCAAATAACACATGTTTGTACTAATGCTATTTATGAATTCATTAAAATACATTATAATTTATTTTTTAATTTCTAGAGAAAAGTTTCACTTACAAGGCGTAAAAAATAGAGATACTGTTTGTGTGTGTGTGTGTGTGTGTGTGTGTGTTATCGATCGTGAAGTAGAATGAATCATGAATATAAAATTGTCTTGTTTGTATTATAGTTTCAAATATTTGGACAAACAGGCAACGCAATTATATTATTATCATTTATCAACAATGAATAACATCATGAGAATTATAAAATAAAATATATTTTAGTATATTCGTTGAAAAATATTCTTTTTTTACATATTGGTTGTGTTTGTACACAAATATTTGAAGTGTAGATTGATGTTTTAGTATAATGAACATATTTATATTTTCTCTCAACAGACGGTTTGTCGGTACTCGGGTTCTATCGAAACTATCAATAAATAAATGAATTACAGGAAAAATATAAGAAAAGTACCTACGTCATGACGTTTATCGAGAAATTTTATCTCTAGTTCGTAGAAAACTAATGTTATTTCTTAAAAAATCAAAAAATACAAGTCATTTTGATGTTTTTAACTAGCAAACATGTCCTTAACCGTTTCAGGCTCAAACACACTTGACAAGAACCGTTTTGATATCAATTATTTAAATAATTACTTCACGACCGTGTTTAGAAATTATTACCGTAGGCTATCGAAATAAAAATAGTGATGATCGTTAACTCGCTGACCGTTGGACTCATCACGACGAGGAGACATTAATCGCTCTCGTGTACTGTAACTTAGTGGGCTGTGTGCAGTGATACGAACAAGCATACCACAGTACCTCAGTACACACCCGCGATAGTGACTGGCTATTTTTGAGTGTGAATCGGCGAAACGTCGGTCGTTATTGGTCATGGAATTTCGGAAAAAAAGAATAACCAAAAAATACGATGCACGGTATCATTGCATATATTATAGCTTTCACGTGGAATTGGATGTATTTTGGCCTAGCACCAGCTGACCTGCCGGACCTGAGGACATGTATACACACACACACTCACAAACCCTTCATAAAATTTGACGTCTGTCACGGGCCGACGGGGTAAAAGAATCGCATTCTCGTGACGGTTGCCAAACTTTGCGTTTCCGTCGCTGCAACCGTGTCTCGCGTGCGTCTCCTCGGCGGGCCCTCACTTTTCCACTCAGCTGAATTCGGTGGTCTCGAGTCTCGACCCGATGGAACACTGGCGATCTGTCGTCGTCGTCGTTTTTCTTCTCTCTCCGTTTTCAACTATGATAATATCAAAATGATAATGATAAATCGTGCGACCGCGATACCCTCTCGGGGTGAGAGAGGTGAGGGGCGGGAGAGTTGCGCTGCTACAGCGACGGCAACGACCGCGTATAAAATAATAATAAGTGCTTCCTGCAAAACCGGGCAAAACCTGCTAGGTATAATATCGCGGACGACCCGACGACGACGACACACAATGGCGACTTTTGCGCACGACGGATCCGTCTAATTTATTACAACGTCCCGGCGGCTCTTTGTTCCCTGGCCGACGAAAACAATCGGTCCAGGTAAAACACGAGTACGGTGTACAACAGCGTCTGTTATAATACATTACCTATATTATTATTACTATCTATAATGTACGAGATGACGATGATTATAATAATAATAATAATAATAATAATAATAAATAATAATATATGTCGTGTAACGCTGTCTGCGTGGAGGATTTTTCACACACTTTTCATGTAGGTATACGCGGTTACGGCCCTAGCATAATGGTGCCCATACAATATTATACATATCACATATTTACATTTAAACACATGGTGTCAGGATAATTCACCAATAATGATCACCCTGACTATTGTCCTATATACAATATAAATATATAATGATAAAGATAACACAAAAATTACTACCTATCATAAATACTCCGATACTCAACATCCGAATTTCGATTTAGACACATCAATAATTTCCATAAAATAAAATAAAATAATTTCCAAAATAAGGCAAGTCCTCATTTGAAAAAAAAAACGAATGCGTATCGGACTGCACTACCTAACGCTGTGTTAAACGTAAATCCGGCGAGTCTGACGATTTCTGTATTCTGATCATGCTGTTCTATCGCTTTTATCGGATTCACGTAGGACACGACCTAAACGCCAAAGAAATCAGAGTATTTGATAAAATGTAGGTAATCAATCTAAAAATTCTAAAACTAAATCCGAGTTTGAATAAATTAATAATCAATAAGGATGAAGTGAGAGTTTTTCTTGGCGTGAATCACCTGTGTATATGGTGTGCGCAATTAAGGTTTTAATAATATTATTGTCATTATACTCACATGCTACTTCTGTACGCTACTCCGTCGCAAAAGAGCACTATACAATATTATTTACACAACCACCTAGGTATGTCACATTGCTACCTACGGACTGCTATAGAGAATATCCAAAGGGTATACTCGGTAGCCGTGGATACGCTCGTTATCGAGATGATAACCGCCTACAATCTATATGTCTGTGTGTTCACAACAATCAATTAACGAGTAAGTAAATAAATGTATAATATGATTTTGGCATATTGCTATTGATCATCGCTGTTAACACCGTAGAATTACTGTTTAAGTAAAATATATACCTAACATGATATACATAGGCGCGGATATTTGGTAAAATCTATAAGCGGGGAGGGGGGCTATAGCCATTGGTACGTATAATACGAAAGAATACAAAAATCCAATATTTTGATAATCAACCCTACGTAGAACACATTTCTTACGAAACTGAGTAATAATCGATTCCCTTTTACTCTTGATTCCGTCTTAAATTCATCATCTCTACACTCAATTCACTTTAAAATCACTCGGCATCGTGACGTATAACCTATTTTAGAAAACATTACTGGTGGGATTTTACCCCTCCAACCAATTACGGCCTTGACCGCTGCCGTTATATTGTTACCAAGTTGTGTCACTGAGGCGCGGCGACTGTGGTATTCATTCCGGACCGGAACTGATTGAAACACTGCGTCATAAAATAATATGATTTTTGTTCCGAGTTCCGTGTACAACGGGTTATCCGCAGATCATCCATATACGCGGAAAACGTCATCGTCAAAAAGTGGGTAACGTCAACTAACGGCTGAGTCGACTGGGGAAATTAAAAACCCAAGAAATAACGAGTCGACGCCTCCGGCCAGATTGACGACCTTTACATAGTATACATTATATTATTACACTATATTACATTGTATAGTTATATACGCGTCACGTAATACAATAGGTATATATATATATAATCCATATAGTTTACCCTCTTCCACATTTTGAAATAATAATCTTGGATCGTTCGGTTTTTTACTTTCGCGTTTACAAAATCGTATATTATATTATTATCTGTAACGATATCAATATTAAGCGTATAATATTATAATAATAGGGAATATGTAATATTATCGTCTATAGTTTCATACTCTGCAATACTTTATAACAGGCACGGATCAGGAGCGAAAATCTGTGAGGGGCCATCATCATTTAAAACGTATAAACACTATAATATCACATCAATATTTTTTTCGTACATTTTAGATTGTAAAGTATCACATAATATATATTAAACTAATATAAGTTTCTTTGAAAAAATGGAGGTGTGTGTTTGTGTGTGTGAGGGGCAAGGGTGGATCTTTGCCTCCCATCAGTTTTTGTTCCACGACGGTGTGTATTATACAGTTTATTAATCAAGACTTACGCTTAGATTTGTTTTCGAATTGTTTTTACGGTAACATATTGGAAAGACTATTTCTACTAAGCGGATTGAGTAACGAGGTTGATAAGCTCCAACTACAAAGTCGATAAGCTGTTATCGTAATGTTGTTAACGTCGTCAGAAATGCACACATCCTCCAGAGTGGATTGAAAAGCGTATCTATATTAATATTGTTTCAAGACTCGAGTAAACGCTATCAGTAAAAGTTTTTTTTCTCCATACGAATCCCGTAATCCATTGTCGCGATAATATTCTCTTTTACAATGTTACATAATGTCGCATTCATTGTCATAACTACTATCGTTAGACGTTGTTTGAACAATGATATTATATTTCTAATATGTCATCACGAGCCGGCCGTGAACCCGAAAAGACGACGTGAAGAAACCTCTGTCGCGCCGGTTAACGAGCGGATAACATCGAAATGGTAGCGAGCAACTGCAGTCTGCAGTGGTGTAAAAAAAAAAATCAGTACACAAACGTACATACAACATTATACTTTTTACTATTCTTTCTTTTTCTTTAGCCCCGTGCCAGTTGTACGGCATCTGATTTTTCCTTTCCTCTACCCCTCCTCACCCCATCCGTATGGTGCGTGGGCAGCAAACTGTTCTATTCTAGTCCCTGGCTATTTGACGTCAAACTAATTGGCACTTTGCCCCGCACATATGACTCGACGTCACCGTTGTGACATAAAACCTAATTCAGTTGTGCAATGTTTTAAATTTACTCTGTGCAGACCGAATGTACAGCTTATATCTATACCCCATTCGACAAATTGTGGGGCAGACTGGGTTATTATTATTATTATTATTATTATTATTATTATTATAATTTTTAACAAATTTTACAGCCATTGTGACAAAATGTACTATTATTATTATTATATTGGCACTCGGTACTATGATATTTTATTTTTTTTATGGCTAGTTACTATTGCGAAGACTTATAAGATTGGTTGACTGCTTCTAGTCATCGAGACTTGAATCGGCAAATAATTCATTTTCGATTACATATTTTTATTATACTTAAGACAAAAATAAAATAATTACCTACTTGAAAATAAATTCTATTGTTGAAATAATACGTGTTAATATAAATATTATTCCCATAATATAAACCTATATGAATAATTTTGTTTAAACGGGATTTTCTCGTTAGGCACTTATATTATACAATTATATGATACAGTTATTTATAATTTTAGACACATTCGAAAACCAAGGTAGACTGGAAACATCTGTTGGAAACGATTCTGTTTCATCATTGGACGGAGCTAGAAGGGACGGAGGACCCAACGACATACAACGACCTTTACGACTAGATATCATTCCACCACCATCGGCCTCGTCAGTCAACCACAGACGTTCCTCGCCAATGGTACTCCATCGGTATTAACGGTGCACGTGTTTTGGTAATTAATTTATCTGTTTTTTCCACGTAGAACGGCAGTGAAGTATTTAGCTCTCCAATGACTGAAACATCCAAAGGTGACGGGGTCCCGTTGTCTTCTCTGAGCGTACAACACGAAATGCAATTATTGCGACAGCAACTGGACCAGCAAACGCATCAGACACAAGCTGCAGTGGCTCAAGTTCACATGCTCAGGGACCAGTTGGCGGCCGAAACAACTGCTAGGATGGAGGCTCAGGTACACAATATCAGTCACTTATATTAGGGGACCCACCGCATAATATAACGAAATCAAATTTAATGTTTTCACACCATAAATAGTTGTAGAATGTACGGTTGATATTTTGGCATTCGTTTCAAACGATCGTAATAAATTTTGCTAAATTTCTTAATTTTCTGATCTCATGCCAAAGTCAAAACGCATTCTATTTTGTATTATAAACAACAATACCGCATTTGCGACAATATAAGCTAATATTATTGTAATACTAAATACAACTCATTAGGGAAAAAAATGTCGTTTTTGCAGAAGTGGTAATTTGCATATTATTTATATTATTTTATGGCTGTGATTGTTATTTCCATAATGATAAAAATATTTTATTTCTCCATACGCATTTTTTACGGCTCACCTGGAAGTCATTGAGTATTCATAAAATCGATAGGTATATAATATAATATCGAGTGTATATATTACTATATACATATATAACATAATAATATTTGTCTCATAGAGTCGTGTACTCTCTAGTAAAGTTGAGAAAATACGCTAATTTGTAGTTCCGTGCGGCGGTCTCGTCTCGGCTGTAATAATAATAGTAATGCATTATTAGCATGAACGGCTGTGCTATAATTAACGCGACTAGACGTCGTCGGCCAACGTGGTCGACCATACATCGCTTCAACGATGATAATACCACTTCTACTACTAACAATAATAATAATAAAAGACCCTTTGTAACTTTTGTGCGTTTTTGTTTCACAGGCGCGGACACACCAGCTCTTGGTGCACAACAAGGAACTGCTGGATCACATCGCCTCGTTGGTGTCGTTGCTGCACGACCAGGAGAGGATCAGAAGTGAACTGCAACACCATTCGCTTCCCCCGGTAAGTGCGTCGTAACGATTGACGTTTGCCAGTGTCCCTACCATGATTAGCCCATACAAAGCCGTGTGTTATCGGCGCTATTAATTATTTGTTTTTGCAGTTGGACGCTACTAACACGTTTGGACGCGCGTGCGTATGATTTGTGTGCGTATGTATAATATAACAGAACGCGTGCATTCACGCGGCGCGTCTTTCGACTAACAGTATATTAATATTATAGTAAATCGTGTAGTTTACCTACCTGCAGCATAATATTCATAATACGCGCTAACTCTTTGTAATGCGTCACGGAATATGTTTTGTTGTTGTTGTTTTTGTTTTTTGACACGGTTCAATGTTTTTTTATAACGCAGCTGATTACTACTACACACCGTTTGACGTACATAACCGTTTTTCCGATAAATTGACAAATATAATAAATACCTGCCCAGGATATCCTGGACGTCCGGTACGTTGAGTTTTGTATCTTAACGCATTTTATTATTTTTATTAATATATAATAATGTAGTGTATTGTTATTGTTGTTGTTGTAAATTAGTTAATCGTAGACTATATTATATTATTGTTATTATTAGACAGACGTGCATCATAAGTCGTAATTATAATATCTGAAGCGTAATTTTTGTTTTTGTTATTGGTGCATACCTACAGCATCCCATGATGTGCGACATGCCGACGCCATCGTCGGCGCCGGCGTCCTACCTGCCGGAATTGCCGCCACCATCTCCCCGGCACAGGGCTCCGGCGTACCACATGCCCATGAACTTCGACTTCAACTTTAGTCAACCCGCTCCGACGGTCGACCAACAGTTTCAAGCGCAGCTGCTGCAGCGGCTCCAGTCGCTGACCGGCACGATAGCGGCGAACAACGCGGCCGCCGTGGGCCCGTACCAACAACAGCGATCCGCGGCGTATCAACCACACCTGTACGCCCCGGCCGCTCACCAGCAGCAGCCGTCCACGTCGCCGACGCTTATCAACTGCAGGCCGTCGTCGCAGCCGTCCTACTCGGCGTCACCGGTGGCGGGCCGGTCCACGTCCGGCGCCGACTGTTGCGGTCCCGCGAACGACGGCATCATCAAACCGCTGTCCGACGACCGGCAGGTGACGGTGGTGGTGGACGACCGGACCGCCGGCGAACCTTCACCGCCGTCGCCGCATCACCCGGAACCGCCAGAACCGACGGTGCTGTCGCCGCCGCCGCCCGGCAAGTTGCAAAAGTCGTTGCTGAAGGTGTCGTCGTCGTCGAGCGGCGGGGGCGGTGGCGCTGGCAGAGCGGCCGGCAAAAAGACCGCGACCGTGGTCGGCAACGGTCCGATAACGAGGTCGACCAGCGAAAAGGTGCCCAACAAGAGCAACCTGATGAGCCAAGTGCACAGGACTACCTGGGCGCGGCACACCACGAAATAGATCCGTCCGGGAAATCCGAGCACGTTGTAAATGTGTTTTCGTTCATTCGCCGAGTGCAATACGAAATTTATATATTATATGTGTATATATATATGTGTGTGCATACACATCTGCCCTTACGTACGACCATACAACACGTCATATTTGTGCATAGGTCAGATTTACACACTCGATTTCCGTAATATCACGAGTTTTCACATTTATCATTGATCACGTAGGAAGTTGGGTATGTACATATATACATATAAATATATATATATATATATAAATAATATATACAGAATGTGTATGTATATTGTATATACTATGTATGTATGTTTACATAATATAATAATATATTGTATGCGAACGGGATATCGGCAGCGTCGATTCTCGCGGGACAGTATAATATATAATACATTAATAATAATATTAATAATATTATGACGGTCTCGAGACTTCAAAGGCAACATTGTAATACAATATTTATTCGGCCGCGAAAACGTTTTGTATAATGTCGTCGACGATAATATCATATTAGAATATTATAATAATTATTATTATTCCGACGAAACCGATATTACGTTTTTGTTATGTATCATAATATATTATCATTACTATTTCCCGCTATGCCTACCGCCAATTCGTGACTGTTGAATTTTTATAATATAGCATAAAATAAAAAAACATTTTGATACAAAAATGAATTATCAATTATTTATTTTAGTTATGTTATGTTGAAATTAAACTATTTTATTTTTCCATAAACCTATTATACCTACTATATTATATTACTTTTGGGACGTCTGGGTTCTGATCAGTGTCTATTTCCATACCCTTTTTTTTTTCTAAGCCGTCCATCGACAAATCCGAGTCGATCGATATTATTTTAATGTCGTGGTATATTGTACTATGAAAAACGCTCTGCATTTACTTTGGTCTAAACATAATATACTACGAAATTGAAAATAACGCTTGGAATGCGGTATACTGAGTTTGGTAGCTATAATATATGATATTTTCCAAAATACACGACGTTTAAAAGCTTCAAAAAATATTCTGTTTATCAGTTGACAGTATTCGAGGCTTTATAATATTATTGGTATAATATTTGTAGTCAATGTTTATACGAACTATTATCAAATAAAGTCATATTACGCACTCTACGACAGACTGACTATTTTATTAATGTTTTAATCTTAATGGAATTGTATTGTTGTTATTATGTTAAACCATGTATATGATTATGAATATGAAATGAAGAGTACCTACATTATTTTTTAAATAAAATTAATATTTGTATTGTCGTATTTTTTTTATTTAAATACCCAAAGTATGAAGTATTCATAATATTACTTGCCTACTTTCTGACTTTGAATTGTACTTTTTATAAACATTTTTAATGATAACATATACCTACATAGGTATTTGTATAACAGCTGACAGCTTTCCAGTTACCTACCTTTTTAATTTGTTGATGTTTATTTAGCTTGAGGTAAGCTCATAAATATAAATAGTGTGTGTGTGTGTGTGTGTGTGTGTGTGTGTGTGTGTGTGTTTTATTTAAACAAAAAACAATTCCAAATTTCCAAACTTAACATTTTCGGTCTTAATAAAGCTAAAATTGTATTTAATTAGATAGCACTCATCCCATAAGTGTACATAAACACACAATTTATTTTCCCATTATCGCTCTCATTAAATAGCCATACCATATAATACTGACTTTGAAGCCATTCATTGGCAATTTTATGGTTTCCATACGTACTATAGTCGAGAGGAATAAAATTACTCGGCAATTTCGAAACATGCGTATTCCTGTTATTATTTTACCCAAATCCACTATTCCTTCCGAAAGCCAGTAGTATTTTTCTTCGAAAATACCTATATATGGCGTACTATATTAGAAAACGCTTATCGTAACATGCAACGAAAGAGTCCGGTATAGCTTCCCTAATACACAAATCGTACGCCACATCCGCGTGTCGCGCTTTAAATCTCTAAACGGGGTTATTTTCTCATAATATAAAATCATATACTTAAACGTTTCAGCGACTGAGGAGTTAATTAATTTGGTTTTATTTTTTGTTTTCACCTTACAGTTGAGTCCCGGTTCCAAGTTGTCCCGATGGTTTGAGTTGCAACCCGATTCGGATGCGCTACCATTGTTCAGACCTGAGAGTGGGTTCGTGGACTACCCTCTGGACGACTACCAGTCCACCGATAGCCTATTGCAAAAGAACAAGCCGAAAAGAAGGTCCAATCTCAGCTTAAAACTCCGGAGAGTTACCACATTTTGACATTTAAGTTCTCGATTTGATTTAGATGTTTAACGATTGTTCATCTAAACAGCGAGACAGCCAATTGCACAACGGCGCTAAAGTGCAGACCATCTATGTTCGGAATCCGTAACTTGATGTCAAATTAGTGTTCAAAACATGACAATTCCCTCGAATCTTGTTTAAGTAAACTTAACATTCTTTTCCTAAAAGAAAACCGCTCATGACATTCACTAGTCCTATTTATTCTTCCCGATGAAAGGGTTTTAATTCCTATCATTCCACTAGGAAATATTCAATTTCAGACGATAATTTTAAAAATCTATCGAAGATTACTACTATATTGTAATAGGTACTATGTAGTATTGTAGTAGGCTACTTGTGGTTATCTGAGCTAATCGTACATGAATAATGTGAAATACTATTTTTTTTTTCACACTGTTTAACGCATTATAATTAATTTTTTTTTCTTTTACGTTTTATATTGTTTTTACTCTTAACTATTTAATTTTTAATAAAATATTATTCTAATTTAATCAATACGCGATCGGACAATTAATATTAATTAACAAACGTTAATTAATATGTAGTTGGAATTAGTGTCGCGGAGAGCAGGTTGCTCTACTGTTGTTTTCAAATTAATGGAAAACAAACATTTGTAGAGCACCAAGCTTAAAAGTTAAACTTTTACATCATATGTTGATAATATTAAACTCGTGTATAAAAATAAATAAGTGTATTATATTCGTGTTAAATTAAATAACGAATAAACAACAAAAGTTATTATGCTTAAAAACGTTTATTATGATTATGTTTAGTTTTTTTTTTTTTTTTTATTTATTTGAAGAAATCTACAATCTATACATGCTTTTTGTACAATAAGTAGGTTTGATATAAGAAAGGTAAAAATATGATATGATTAGTTAGATTAGGGAAGATACCCAGTGGTAACACCCTATTATTATGTTTAGTTATAATTATTTATTAATGTGTAAATGAAGATTGATTTTTCGTATCTATACTTTTGTGAAAAACGTATTTTTTTCGATATTACTTATTATAGTTTTAAAACGATGATGTAATTATTCTCGTTCTGTTTTTTGCTGTAAGCTAGAATTATTTTAAATCTAATTAACCATATTATTTATAAATTTTAAATGCTTGTATATACGTATAAAAGTACAAAAAAATAATTAACAGCCATTAAATAATAATTAGGTCAAGGATTCCGTTCACTTTGTCCGTACTTATATACTCAGTTAATATAGGAATTTCGACCACTTTCATCATAATCAACGTCCCTATATGATGATATATCTTGAAACATCCACAAATACTTAAATTGCTTTCACTGAACCTTTTGTCAAACATGAGAAATTCCTTTTTCGAACAATTGTCATTCCATTGCTATTAAAAATACAATTTCGCTTATGTACCATATATCTATCATTAAACATTTGTCAAAGCAACTGGAATAAGTTGGGACGGATAATAACATAAGTGTTTACCGTCGGGTATCCCCCGCTGTGATAGTATAAGAAAATGTAAGCTTTATTTTTGAAAGTAAAATAACAACATACAGGAAATTTTTTATTTGTTCAGATGAATAGTATTTCGGTTTTCTTTGTTCAGACAAAACAATTCTTCAGTATATAGTATATAGTACCACTTATATATATATAATATTCATATTACGCTTCGAAGCACAGTATCAATATTTTCAGAAGAGATATTTTTCTTCCGTGAAACTTATCGACAGTTGTCAAGCAAATGTTTACGTTCTCAAGATTTTTTTTTATTGGCTGCGAAGACATTTAGGAAATATATACTACGACTTCCGAGAAGTAAAAACACTGAATGTAAATTTAAATGTATCTAAAAAATACTAGTGATAGCTTCAGATTTTTATTTTATAAAAAATGTACTTGATTTTGCTATAAGCATCAGTTAATTATTAGTTTTAAACATACATACAGAAAAATGTTATATGTGCTAAAATAAAATAAATATATATTATAATATTTTCATCTGTTCAATACTGTTGGTACCTACCTATCTGTATTACTTATAATTTTTATTTTACTTGTTACTGATTAGTTATTATAATATTAACATATTTTATGCATTTTTATGAAAAAGAAAAAAAACACATTTTATTTTGATTCTTATGAATTAAATGTTTTGTATGTAAGATAACATTTTACTTTATACGTGATTTGAGTACAGGAAACTCAGTGACTCGTGACACAATCGGCATTTATTCTTGAAGCCAGTGTGTTTTTCATCGATAGAAATAGGAAGTGAACAATTTTTCTAGATCAGTTTTTTATTGGTGCCACGTTGAATTCACTAGCTTACAGAAATACCTTTCTGCTTCTGATTCAGTTACCTCCACTCGACCACTCCCGATATAGTACAACATGATCGAAGACTATAAATATTTACATTTTAAAAATATGAGTGCATATTTTTCCGCGTAAATGAACTTAAATAGTTCAAAAACTGGTGGTGGCATTACAATACCTTTTTGAAACGTATTAATATGAAGATTGAAGAGTATAATACTTCTTTTATTTGTTATATTATAAGTATTGTAACATTGTAAAACGAAAAAAATTATTGTGTGAATACAAGTTTTACTGTTAGTTTACTTAATTTGAGAATTGTAAATTTTCATATTTATTTTATTTTGTTAATACAAATATTGTATATTTTTATTAGCACTTACCTATAATGTATGCT